TGCAGAAATTCACCAAAGATCCTCAGACAGCGCCTTCCAAACCCACGACCACTTCCAACTAGAAGGACAAGGTCAGCAGATACATGGAAACACCATCCCCTACAAGTTCCCCTCCAAGCCACTGACCATCCTGAATTGGAAATATATCACCGTTCTTTCACTACCACTGGTTCAAAATCCTGAAATTCCCTCCCTAATGGCATAGGTGCACTGCAGCGGTTCAAGAAGGCAGCTCACTACCACCTTCTCAAGGACAACTAGGGACAGGCAATAAATGCTGGCCAGACAGCACCGCCCACATCCCACAAACGAATAAACAAAACACACATGTGTGCGTACCCAAACACACATGTGTGCGTACCCATACACACACACTCTCACACATACACACACACACACAATCTCACAAGCACACTCTCACACATACACACGCACACTCTCACACACACGCACACACACGCACATGCACACTCACACACACATTCTCTCTCTCTCACACACACACACACTCTCACGCACACACACGCACACACTCACTCACGCGCACACACACACTCTCACAGACACATTGTCTCTCTCACACACATGCACGCACATTCTCACACACACACACTCTCGTACACACACACATGCACACTCCCACACACACACATTCTCTCTCACACACACACACTCACACACATTCTCTCACACTCACATGTACACACACTCTCTTACACACATCGATTCTCACATGTGCTCTCACACATGCTCACACACATTCTCATACTCACAGGTACAGTCTCTCACACACAGGAACACATACACTCCCATATACACAAAACACATATACAAATATAGAAATGATGCACATACATCTAAACACACTCTCTCACTATCTCTCTCTCACACACATATATAACACACACACACATACACTCATTGCAATTCAACATATCAGGGGTGGGTGGAGGGGGTTGAGTGTGATATGTAATGTTTGCAGACCTTATCTCATCTCCCCTTGTATCATCTGGATGTCTTGGATCAGACTATCAAAAACAGTTATCTTAAAAGGTTCTTAGGCAAGGACAAAAACATCTTGAGGAGAAAGCAATCAATTTGCTATTCTTATCTGCATTTTCCTGATTTTCACTTGAAAGCCCTTTCTTACCTTACTGATACCTTTCCTGAACCTAGCCCAGGTGATTTATTGTGATTCACTGAGAAAATGATTTTAGAAAATAATCCCATTTGCTGATGTGAATGTCCTGTTTATATCTTACTCTATAAATTACCATCCTAACTCAGTCATAAACCCTGGGGAACTTTATTGTGCAAAACAATATTAACATCTTTCAAAACAAAAGCATTTAAATGCTCCCACTTCCCCCAGGTTATTAACACAATTTTGTTGGATCACTCTTTCTTTACGAGGGTATTGATTTCTCCACAGATGACCCACTATATGATGCCTGAGTACATCTCATTATTGCAGTGATCATAGAAATTTGCAGCTCAAACGGAGATCTTTCAGCCTGTTCTGTCTGTGCTAGCCAAAATAAAAGGAGATATTCAGGTTCTCTGGTTCTTGGTCCTTCCCTTTGTAGCTTATGGCACTTCAAGTGCATCTGCACGAACTCTTTGAATGTTATGACAATTCTTGCCCCTGTTATTGTTCCAGGAAGTTCCAGATCCCCACCACCCTCTGGTTTCACAACATTACCTCTTGACTCCCCTCTCTGAGACAGACAGGAAACAGTCGCTGCTGCAAGTAGCAAAGGGAAAAGGACTGTTCTTTGGTAGTTACTAGGCAGAATGCAGGTAGGAACCCATTCTCTGGATGAGGAGGAGGGCCCGTAAGATTTAAGCAAACTGGAAGTTCCTTTCAGGAATTGCTGAAGTGGGCCTCACTACTGGAGGTCAATTTGGGACTTCTCAGAAGATTAAGTGTGTGTGTGTGTGTGTGTGTGTGTGTGTGTATATGTGTGTGTGTGTCTGTGTGTTTGTGTGATTTCGTTGCTGCAGCTAAATGTGACAAAGTACAAACAGCTCCGTCAGAAACATTCAACAGCTGGGACAGAACAAAACCACCCAACAGGGTGGAGGCAGGGGGAGTTGAGACAATACTACATTGTATTGGACTTCACTCTCCCGGTTTATGAAGCATTACCTACCTTTATTCAGGTCAGGCATGTTATACAACTGCAAATTAATCTCTCATTCACAATACCGTGGTTTATTGTTTAGTTCTTGTGTACCAGAATGTCTAAGGTTTTCTAATACTATTGGCATAAAATATGAGTCATTGTAAGCTTGCAGCTTAGCAACTACACTGCGTCCTCCTGGCTTTAGTTCTTCAGCATCCAATGTAAGGACAAAGAGAAAAACTGACAAGACCATTGTTAAATGAGGGCTGACTGGGGGATACTCACAGGAGAAATGTAGAGTTTACCTCATTAATACAGGAGCTGGGCTACTGATGGTCAATATGAAATGACAGGAGACAAAAAACTTGTGGAGGGGATCTGAAATATTGCATACAGTTTGCATTCATATCATAACTTTATCTTAATAAAATGGTCCATGATACTTCACAAGACCAAGTCAAAAATTTGACACAGAATGTAAAAAAGGAGATCTCTGTGCAGGTCATAGCGTCATAGAGATGTACAGCATGGAAATAAACTCTTTGGTCCAACTTGTCCATGCCAACCAGATATCTCAAATTAATCCAGTCCCATTTGCTAGCATTTGCCCATATCCATCTGAACTGTTCCTATTCAAATACCCAAACAGATACCTTTTAAATGTTGTAATTGTACCAGCCTCCACCAACTCCTCTGGCAACTCATTCTTTACACACACCACTTTCTGCATGAAAAAGTTACCCCTTTAGGTCCCTTTTAAATCTTTCCCCTCCCCCTAGTTTTGGACTCCCCTACCCTGGGGGAAAAGACCTTTACTATCCACCTTATCAGTGCCCCTCATGATTCTATAAACTTCTATAAGGTCACCCCTCAGCCTCCAATGCTCCAGGAAAAATAATCCCAGCCTATTCAGCTTCTCCCTGCAGCTCAGACTCTCCAACCCAGACAAATCTTTTCTGAATCCTTTCAAGTTTCACAACATCCTTCCCATAGCAGGGAGACCAGAACTGCATACAGTATTCCAATTGTGTCCTAACCATTGTCCTAAACAGCCGCAACATGACCATCCCAACTCCTATACTCAATGCGCTGACCAATAAAGGCAAGCATACCAAATGCCTTCTTCACTATCCTATCTACCTGTGACTGCACTTTCAAGCAACTATGAACCTGGACTCCAAGGTCTCTTTGTTCAGCGACACTCCCCAGGACCTTACCGTTAAGTGTATATAAGTCCTGACCTGATTTGCCTTTCCGAAATGCAACACCTCATATTTATCTAATCACCATCTGCCACTCCTTTGCCCATCAGCCCATTTGGTCAGAGTCCCGCTGTACTCTGAGGTAACCTTCTCTGCTGTCCACTGCACCTCCCATTTTGGTGTCTGCAAACTTACTAACCATACCTCCTATATTCACATCCAAATCATAAAATACTTTATTAAAGAGGTAGACTTCCAGAATGTCTTAAAGGAGGAGGAAGAGTTAGTGAAGTGGGGAAGTTTAAGGAGGGAATTTAAGAACTTCAGGCTCAGGCATGGCTGCCAGTGGTGATGAGAAAGGGGTTGGGAATTTCTGAGAGGACATAACTAGGGGAGTGTAAAATTCCCAGAAATAAAGATCCTGAGGGAGTCGAACTTCCCAGAATACACCACTCTTATATTCCTTTCCAGTGTTTTAACATCTATTACTCCATTTTAATTTTCATTAAAGCATCTTACATCAGTATTCATATTCTATCTTTGAAGTACCTGGTTTCTTTGTCACATTTCTGCGTCACATTTTAGCTTATGCTCCGATGTGCGCTTTTATAAACCCACCACAGTGCAGTTGTGGCACCATTTTCCCAGAAATCTCTAGGGAAAATCTATCCAAGGCTGTTCCTGTTATTTTCTTTCAGTTGTTGAAACTTTATATGTCTAGAATTATGCATTAAACGAAATGAACGGTTTAGAATCCCTATATTCCTGGCAATGTTTTTTAATTGAATGGTGTTTTTTGAGTTTTAATGCCTTTTACTTCAGGGACTAACACTTCCTAAATGTTTAGGTGTGGACTGTGTAATGGCTTAGAAGGAATGTTAGCATTCCTGCCAAGACCAGCAATTATTTTAGTCACTGGTTGGTTTGCTAGGCCCCTTCAGAATGTGGTTCAGATAGGATAGGACAGTCTGTCTTTCTGTGTTGTGTAGGTGAGATTGTCTGTTTTTCTGTCTTGTGTGAGTGTGCCTGCCTGTGTTTTATGGTTGACACAGTCTGGCTTTCAGTGTTGTGTGGCTGACACAGCATGTGTTTTTGTGTTGTGTGGGTGAGACGGTATTTGTTTCTGTTGCATTTGTTAGGACAGCCTGTGTTTTTGTGTTGTGTGCATGAGGTAGCCTATATTTCCTTGTGTGTAAGAGTGCTGGTGTTTCTGTGTTGTGCGAAGAGATATTCTGTATTTCTATGCATTGTGGTGAGATTGCCTGTATTTCTGTGTTTTGTGATCAAGTTATCCTGTGTTTCTGCATTGGGCAGGAGAGACAGCCTGTGTTCCTGTGTTATGTGAGTGAGGCACCCTCTGTTTCTGTGTTGTGTTGTTTTTTTGTGTTGTGTGCTTGACACAGTGTATATTTCTGTGTTTTGTATTTTAGACATCCTGTGTTTCTGTGTTGTGTGGGTGAATTAGCCTGCGTTTCTGTGTTGTGTAGGTGGGTTAGCCTGTGTTTCTGTGTTGTGTAGGTGGGTTAGCCTGTGTTTCTGTGTTGTGTG